GGCGATAACGGGGCATTTCCCTGGAGAGTAGTTGGTACTCCGGAAGGGCCCGGTACGATGCGGCGAGCTGCGCAGGAGTGGCAGCGTACTCAGATGTAAACCACCGCCTTTTTGTCGATCGAAAAGGAAAGTACATGTCGGCATGTCCCGCATCCAAACTGCTACTGATATCAATAGCGCGCCCCAAAGCCACGCGGAGCTCTTTTGAATCCTTCATCTTCGCTGCCTCACGGGCCGTGCGTTGCAGATCTTCCATAAAGTCATCTGCGTCCCTTCGCGCCGCTTCTGGCGCCACCACACAAACGCGGGTCGCATAGCCCATAATCGCCACAACCCCATGAGGAGCAAGACAACGGTGGGCAAGCGACAGATGCCACGGCGCGTCGTGCAGCATCTCTTCCCCAAAGACATTTGCCGCAAACACCACAAGATCAAGAGATTGCGGTGGCGTTTTTTCCAGCGGCGAAATTAATGCAGGCAACTGTCCCGGCGTGACCTCCTTGGCCACCTTTCCATCCTCTCGCAGCGACGCTGCCGATTCGGCTCGTTGAGAAACTTCCCAGGAGCGTCTTCTTAGAGGCGCCAGACGCACGGAGGGCAGATGATCCCGGGCACGGGCCAACAATGAATTCTCACGATCGCTTGACATCATTGAAGGACAAATCACCATACATCGCTGATAAAATGGTACAGCATCCATCAACGCCGCCAGCCAAACATCAACAGGCTCCGGGAAAAAAGCTGGGGGCCTTCTGCAATAATCGTGAAGAGCAGTACCAAAAGCGGATACCAACCCGCCAAGAAGTTTACAGCCACCCGTGGTGGAGGGTCTCAACGACATTTATTTTCTACTATTGTTGACAACATGCAAAAAAAAAAAAAGCAGAGAAAGTTTAAAAAATGTTTTCAAAACTAGAAAAAGCTTCTCCAAAAAAAAAAAAAGACTTCAAACAACATCGCTTATTCCATGAGGCTCAACTACGAGAGCCGCGCACTTAATTGAAACGATCTACTTAAAAATCACCCCATCAGATAATGACTACTCCTATTTTGAGGTTTTCTTAATATTTGCGGCAAGCCAATCAAGACCTTCATACAGGCCTTGAGCTGAAGTGGCACAACATCCCTGAATATACCAGTTGCGCTGACGCACGGAGTGCAAGCCCAGTTTCTCCGTCACTTCCGTCGTGCTCATGGCATTGGGAAGGTCTTGCTTGTTGGCAAATACAAGAAGCACGGCATTGCGAAGCTCGTCCTCTGTGAACATCTTCTCCAGCTCCTGCCGCGCCTTACCGATACGCTCCCTGTCATTGGAGTCCACGACAAAGATGAGGCCGTTCGTGTTCTGGTAGTAGTGACGCCACAGCGGGCGCAGAACGTCCTGGCCACCGACGTCCCACATGGTAAACTTGAGGTTCTTGTACTCCACCGTCTCCACATTAAACCCGATCGTGGGAATCGTTGTAACGATCTCACCAAGTTTAAGTTTGTACAGAATTGTCGTCTTACCAGCAGCGTCAAGGCCCACCATCAGAATGCGCACCTCCTGCTTGCCCAGGAGCGACTTGAATGCGGACGCTAACCACTGGCCCATTGAATTTACTTCTTATCCTTGTATTCCTAGCGTTTTATTTTTAGGAGGCTCTTGAAGTACACAGACAAAGGCAGCTGAGAAGTCACGGCAGGAGAAGATGTCACCGCCGCAGGGGCATCTCCGTCACCACAAAAACAGGAATAGGATCAATTATGACAACATGCTAGCACAAAACTTAAAAAAAAAAAAAACCGTCAGCACATTCAAAAAATACACTCCTTAAAGGTAGCCTATTGTGAGGTTTTCTTAATATTTGCGGCAAGCCAATCAAGACCTTCATACAGGCCTTGAGCTGAAGTGGCACAACATCCCTGAATATACCAGTTGCGCTGACGCACGGAGTGCAAGCCCAGTTTCTCCGTCACTTCCGTCGTGCTCATGGCATTGGGAAGGTCTTGTTTGTTGGCAAATACAAGAAGCACGGCATTGCGAAGCTCGTCCTCTGTGAACATCTTCTCCAGCTCCTGCCGCGCCTTACCGATACGCTCCCTGTCATTGGAGTCCACGACAAAGATGAGGCCGTTCGTGTTCTGGTAGTAGTGACGCCACAGCGGGCGCAGAACGTCCTGGCCACCGACGTCCCACATGGTAAATTTGAGGTTCTTGTACTCCACCGTCTCCACATTAAACCCGATCGTGGGAATCGTTGTAACGATCTCACCAAGTTTAAGTTTGTACAGAATTGTCGTCTTACCAGCAGCGTCAAGGCCCACCATCAGAATGCGCACCTCCTGCTTGCCCAGGAGCGACTTGAATGCGGACGCTAACCACTGGCCCATTGAATTTACTTCTTATCCTTGTATTCCTAGCGTTTTATTTTTAGGAGGCTCTTGAAGTACACAGACAAAGGCAGCTGAGAAGTCACGGCAGGAGAAAGCAACGATGATCCTGCCGATGGGATGGAATGAAAAGGAAGTAAAAGGGCAGCACCGAAGGTAAGGTCACAGTGAAGGCAATATCTTCATTCAGCCAAATCATAATATGCTCGGCAAAGACAAAATAAAAAAAAAGAAAGGAAAAGAAATAATTTCAACCAATTAGCTCCTGCAACTGTAATGGATTCCCGTCAGGCACCGGCCAGGCAACAGGTAGTGGCATACCTGCGAAGACCCTGTGCCGAAGCAGCTCGCTCACAGGTGGGCGCAGGTGAAAGTTAAATTGGAGCAGCGGTCTGATCATCATAATCCACATCTCCGCCTCATCTTCCGGACCAGCCAATCGCATGCGAGAAGAAAAAGATGCATCATAATTGAGCCCTAGGAGATACTCGGAAACACGGTCTGGGCACCCAGGCGGGATGCTGTCCTTTTTCAAACGACCAATGACCCTCACGGTCTCTTCTAATTGTTTCCTGACAAGCTGCGGCCGAAAGTTGCCGGCCGACTCTTCCAGTGAGAAGGCGGCGGAGCCGGTGTATATCTCAAACAGTAGACAACCCAACGCCCAGCAGTCCACCGCCTTCGACTTAATGCCGCTGAGCTGTAGAACCACCTCTGGTGGTCTGTAATTCCGCACGCAAATGTAAGAGCCACTACAGTCAGATGAAGTTGTGCTGCCGCAAAAGTGTATAACACGAATGGTCGGCTCTGGTTCCACCTCCACCAACACCACGTCAGAGGAAAGAAACTGATGGCTCACTCCACAGGCATGAAGAAAAGAAAAAGCTTGGACAAGTTGGTACGCCAAGGACAGCTTTACCTCGCGGCGACGGCCTTCCTCCGTCTGAAGAAATCGGTGCAGTGTGATATGAGGCTCCGACAATTGATATGAGAGAAGAATAAGAAGAGGCGATGCCCAAGCTTCTTCCTTCATATCTCTCTGTAAATTTCCCTCACCGTACATACGCACAGCAGGACGGCCAATGTAGGGACATTCACACCGTCGAAGAAAGGAGAGAACACTTGCAATACGCTTTCTCTCGCTAAAAGAGACCTCCCAGACCTCGTCGATCATAGGGAACAACAACGTTTCCTCAAAAAATAATAATAATAAAATAAAAGGAAAAAAAGAAAGACATGCAATTGATTTATAGATCGCTAACCATAAAAATATATTTTTTTTACACAAGACACTTGCCTGCGTGTGTGTGTGTGTGTGTGTGTGTGTGTGTGTGTGTGTGTGTGTGTGTGTGTGTGTGTGTGTGTGTGTGTGTGTGTCAGTAGGAGTATGAAAGAGGAAAGTAAAATAAAGTCTTTCAAAAATCCGTTGACGTTTTTTGTTCCAGCATAACTTGCTGTTTTGTTGTTGTTGCTGTTGTTTTCCTACCATTTACATTCAGTCATCACTGTGCAATTAGAGGAGAGCAAACTTCTCCCCTGCGCGTCGTGCGGGCACCCAATCGTAAAGATGGCACACATAAATATATGAACATCGCGTGTGTCTCCTTTTTGACTCAACCATTCATTTCCAATTTCTCTGCCTCAGAATTAATTGCCAATTTTCACCTACTCCAAGAAGGCCTGAATGATTTGCATAATAAAAGACACGACTCCCAGGCCCCATGGTGCGGCGGCGTCTAGGAAGAGGGAGGAAAGATAAGTACTCGTGGCCTGGTGGCGAAGCATTGTGCTCAGAATGACAGCCGCCCACTGCACCTGAGAGTCTTGCACCAGGCTGACCACATCAACGGGCGTGTCTGTCACCGTTGCACTCGATGACGGGAGGTAATCCACCACCCTCGATCTGTAAAACTCCGGGTCCTCCTGCAGCGCCTCAATGAGTTTGGAAGAAGCCAGAAGGGCTTCGAGGTCCACATCCAGCGTCACGGCACCCTCTCGCACCTCCTCCAGTATTCTTCGAAAAGTTGACATTTGAATTGCCTGTGAGTTTGGCGCGTTGACAGGGTAATGTCGGTGCCTCTCCAATATGTATTGAAGCCGCCGCATCATTTTTTCAGCGAGATCCGTTGAACGAGACTGCATCCAGAAGAAAAGAAGTTGTTTGCCTTCATCTACATCAAACAGCAGCACCCTTCCGGACTTGCACTTCTCTACCCAACTAACCTGCACTTTACCTTGCGGCAACGTGAACCGGTGCTCCTCCCCCCCGTCAACGGGAACCCACGTGAGCACCAACTCGTCCATTAGCGAATCCCGCATCAGACACAGTAATCCGCGCCCCAGCAGCGGCTTAACGATGCCGTCCTGCAGTACCATTCGCCCAGCAGGAATCTTTACAGCCAAAGAATTGCGGGCCGTATGGCCTACCCGCGCAGGAGGAATGGTGACTCCTCTCGCTTCCATGAGAACCCACCTAATAAACGAGCAAAAGAAAAACAAAAACAAAAAACAGCCAAAAAAAATAATAATCTAGAAGCTTTCCAAATAACTTTCTTTTTCCCTACCGTGTGTGCTGTTCTGCACCCCAAACTCACCGCTCCGGTCTCTCTTAAGCCGCTCAAACAACACCAACACAATATACACACATCAAGCACGCAAGAATAATGCTCGTACAGACAATACAGACAAAAAGACAGAGTAATCCCTCCGCCCTTCCGCACAACCAGCCTTTTTCCCTCGTAAAGGAATTTGGTAAAAAAAAAAACAAATAACAAAAAAAAACCGCCACCAACCGCCACAACTGCTGCATGTTTCTCAGAATGTGCCGGCGTTTTCTATCCCTTTTCCCCTCCTTATTTTATCCTCGCTGTTGTTTTTGTTGTTCCTTCTCTTCCTTTTTTCCCGGCGGAATTACGGGTAGGGGGCCATGAGGCGGACCTCCGGCACGGCCTGCTGCGGTGACTTCTGCCAGCTGCTGTGCCCGTGTAGGCCTTCGTTCATATCGTTACGGCGTATCGTTTCCCGCCATACACCAATGCGGAAGTACTTTGAGTGTTGCGAAAAGCGCCACTGGGTACCATTGCGCGGGTTGTGTCCAACAAATTCCGTCAACTTTGGGCCGCGTTGCAGCTCATCGATAAACATGTACCGCATCCGCGTCCACGGCCGAGGAACTAGTGGTGACTCGGCAAGGCCGCACTTCATGCCATAGCGCTGCAGAGTTGCAAGTACAGGTTCGTGACGCGTAACGTTCTGGCTACTAGGGAGTTTGTTGTAAAGTAAGCCGCCTGGGCGCAGCTCGCTAAACAAGGTGCACTGCTCGATGGCATCCATGCCTAGACGCAGGTCCCATTCGTCCCTATTCCGCCTGATGCCCCACGTATCATCTGGAACAAAGTACGGATTCAACACAACCGGAACACTCTGCCCTGTAATGGACAGCACAACAGGACCGGCCAAAATTGCATTCGGCGTCATTGTGCTCTTCTCCGACAAACGCCTGCCCTCTTTATCGTCACAGCAGCATAGGCCGGGGGCACATTAACAG